GTTGGACTACAACTCTTCATAATATTCTGTTACTATCCTTTTTATTCCCATTGTGATATCACTCATGATGTTTTTTATGCATGTTATTTGTGTCTTCTCTTTTCTTCTGGTAGGTTTACCAATGGTTTGTCAATTTTATTTATCCTTTCAAAGAACCAACTTCTTGTCCTTGTTGATTCTTTCTACAGTTTTTCTGTTTTCTATCTCATTTATTTCTGTTCTAATCTTTACTATTTTTTCTTCTGGTGACTATAGGTTTGCTTTGTTGGTCTGTTTCTAATTGTTGGAGATGTTGTGTTAATGTATTAATTTTGGTTCTTCTTTTTGGATGTGTGCATTTACTGTACCTTTTATTTGTTCTACTACCCAGTAGCTTTTAAGGTGGGTATTATTCAGTTTCCATGTATTTGACTTTATTTCCTTAGTCTTCCTGTTGTGGATTTCTAATTTTATAGCACTTTCAGCACTGCTTTTGTTGTGTTCCAAAGATTTTGATATGTTGTATTTTCATTCTCATTTGTTTCTAGGAATGTTGTGAATACACCTTTTATTTGTTCTACTACCCAGTAGCTTTTAAGCAGGGTGTTACTGAGTTTTCATGTATTTGACTTTATTCCCTTGGTCTTCCTATTGTTGAGTGCTCATTTTATAAGCATTGTCATTTTAGAAGATGCTTTGGGGTATTGGATGTTTGTAAATTTATGGAGGCTTGTTTTGTGGCCTAACACATGGTCTATTCTGGACAATGTTCCATGTGTACTAGAAAATAATGTGGATCGTGATGTTTTAGGCTTGAATGTTCTGTACACATCTATGAAGTGAAGTTGGGTGACTGTGTTGTTTAGTTCCTCTGTGTCTTTGTTGAATTTCTTTCAGCTGTATCCTTTTTTGAAATTGATGTGTAAAAATCTCCCACTATTATTGTAGATTTCTCTATTTATTTCTTCAATTTTCATAGGGTTTGCTTTTAGGGGCTCTTTCATTGGGAGCGTAGATATATTTATTATGGTTATATCATCTTGTTCAATTGACCCTTTAATCATGAGATAATGTCCATCTTTAATAATAAAGATGGTTTTTGCCTTAAAGTTTATTTTATCCAAGATGAGTATTGCCACACCTGCCTATATTTTATTGCAATTAGCTTGATATTTTTTCCATCCTTTAACTTTTAAATCTGTTTTTGTTTTTTCTTTGTGTGTGAGGTATGTCTCTTGCAGACAGCATATTAAGGGATCTTGTTTTCTTAGCCATTATGTCACTCTAACTGGTGCATTTAATCTGTTGATATTCAGTGTAACTATTGACAGGTATGAATTAATTGCTGTTATATTATGTTAGTTGGTTTTTTTCTCTTTTTGGTGCTGCTGGTTTCTTTGTTCTGCATTCCGTCCTGTGCTGAGTTCATGTTTTTAGTGCTCTTTCTTGTCAGTTTCTTCATAGTTTTAATGTTTCCATGTTCTTGGATTTACATTTTCTTGATATAATTGGTTACCCTATCCTATTAACTTCTTTCCTCTATTTAAAACAGTCTCTTTTGTCCTGCAATATATCTGACCTCTGCCTCACCTGGATCTCTGTTCCTATATTCCCCACCCCACCCCTGCTTTTACACTGTGATTGTTTTGATCATAGACTGACCTTTCAGGTCCTCTGAATTCATTCTTGTAGTTTTCTTATGTTCTGGACTCTTCCGTTTGTTGACTGAGTTTCAGGTGGTGCTGCCTCATATGTCGATCTCTGGTTGCTGTCTTTCTTGTTGATTCTCAGTACAAAGCTTTGAAAAAGTCCCTTAACTTTTGTTTATCCTGGAATGTTTTGATTACACCATTGTATTTGATTGACATATTTAGCTAGGTAAACAAATTTCTTGGTTGGCAGTTTTTTTCTTTCAGAGTTTAATATATGTCTCCCCATTGCCTTCTTGTCTGCATGGTTTCTGCTAAGAGATCAGAGCGTAATCTGATTTGCTTGCCTTTGTAAGTAACAATTCTCTTTTCCCTAGCGGCTTTCAGGATTCTCTCCTTGTCTTTGATTTTGGAGAGCTTGACTATGATATGTCTTGGTTAATTTCTTTTGGGGTTTATCCTTCCTGGGGTTTGTTGAGCTTCTTGAATGTTTATCGTTTTGGTTTTTTTTTTTTTTTAGGATGTTAGGGAAATTTTCTTCCAGCAACCCTTCAACAATTTCCTCTGTGGTCTTCTGTGATCCTTCTGTTCCAATACACCAGTAACCCTCAGGTTATTCTTTTTCATGTTGTTCCACATAAATCTTATACTTACTCTTTTTTCTGCTAGCTCTTCTGTCTTAGCAGTATTGAGAGATTTGTCTTCAAGCTTGCTGGTTCTGGCTTCCATCTTTTCTTTTCGCAGGTTTTGAATTGTTTCCAAGGCTATTTCTATCTTATTTGATTGTTCCTGTAGCACTTTCCTGACTTCTTATTTTTCTCAACCCCTCTGTGGAGCATTTGGATGCACCTAGATATCATTCTCTTGAATTCTTATCAAGCAGTTCCCAAGCTTGCCCTTTGTCAAATAAGAAGTGCAGTATATCTCCAGCTCATTTGTTTTAACTATTTCTGGACATGAGCTGAAATCTTCTGTTAGATGTATTTTCAATAATTAGATGACTGTATGTTGGTGAGTAAGCTTCCCGATTGCCTCATGGTAGATGTGATCAGGAGATGAGTTTCCCATTTCACTTATCTTAAAGTGTTGGCTATGTATCTGGTGTATATTAGTTCTTGCCTGGATGGTAAGATTACATAGGGTGCGACTGTAAGTTGCCTATATGACTGCAATCGCTGTCTCTTCTTGGGTAACATAGAGAATAAGCCCCACCATGCTGAAAGAGGGACCCCAAAAAATACCCCCAAACAACAAACAAAAACCAGATTGGGCACGCACAAAAAAACCAATAGCTAAATATGAGTAAGAATTTAACACCCCTTTTTTATGCAGCTTGTTTTCAAAAGCACCTGAGAAATTTCAAGATGTTACCATTGCTCCTTATGATGTAACTCAAGATTTAATTTTTGGCCTCTTTCCCTTTTTGTCTCTCTCACCTCTCCTCAAGCTTGTATAAGTTTTGTCCTAATGAGAAACAGCCCAGGGCTGGCCTAAGCTGGTTTTGCAGACCTTCCCATTTTAAGCTCTTCCTGTTAACTCCTCCCCCTTCTTTGATTCTGGGCCCAGTGGTCTTTGCTGAGCAGATTTGTGCACATGTGTAGTAGAACCCTTTGAGGCTGGGGGTGTCCACTTGCTCAGGTGCCCTCTCTAGTCACCTGAGTGGAGGTGTGCAGAGAAATGAACTGAAAAAAACAAACGTTCACAGCTTTATCTCCAATGATTGGCCAGAACCCTGCAGTGGGAGTGCTCCCTTGATCTTTCACCTGCTCCGAACCACTCAAGATGGCTGCTCCTGAACCACTGGCAGCCGCAGATAAGAAAACACTACCTTTCTTGCTTCTGCTACAAATCCTACTAGCAGTGAGTCTTCGATCCTTCTAAATATCCCTTTATACGTAGTTCAGAGTTCTGGGAATGGTCCCTGAATCTGCTTCATCCAGTAGTATTCTGTGCTATATTACTGGTGGAGGTGTGCATGCATGTCTCCCTAAGCCACCATCAAGCCCCACCTATCTCATGAACACTTTGTATCCAGAGAATCCTAAGACAAAGCAGAAGAAACAGAGTATGAAGGATAGAAGAGTTGGTCCTGATATTCTTCTTGTGTTGGCCTCACCCAGCACCCTATCAGTGGCATGCCATGTGCATGTTGTGCCCTCAACTGAGATCTGGGCACTGCACTGTCACCCTAAATCTAACATGGCCTCCACACCACACACAGGTTGAAGTCAGAAACCTGAGACTCCCCTGACTCCTCCCTCTTCTTCACCAACTTCCTTCTAGAAAGACTTTCCAGTCACCTCCTTGACAGTGTCTCTGCCCATCTCTGCTCCTGCACACACAGCTAGCCCTGCACCATCAGGCTCCCACCATCCCACCACAGCTTCCTTCTCTTTAGACCAACAAATGAGCTGCTCAAAATACACCAAATGCCTACCTCCAGGGCTTTTGAACATATTCTTCCCTCCTGCTCAGATCCTCTCCCCTCTGTCTTACAGACAGCATTCTGGATGTCTCTTTTGTAGTTTTTAATTGTGTGTGCATACTTGGTTTCTTTATCTTTTTCCCAACCAGAGTATAAACCTTGTTATGGACTGAATTGTGTCCCCAACAAAAGATATATTTCAAGTCCTAATACCTGGTGCTCACAAGTATGACCTTGCTTGGAAATAGTGCCTTTCCAAATGTAATCAGTCACCTTGGCATGATGTGTGTGGGTCCTTAACCAATCTGACTGGTGTCCTTACAAAGAAAAGATACACAGAGGAAGACAAGCACTTTCAGAAGCATCTCTAAGCCAAGAAACTCTACCAGAAGCTGAGAGGATCCTCCTCCAGAGACTTGAGAGAGAGCACTGCACTGCTGATGGTCTAAATTTGGACATTTCACTTGCAGAACTGCCAGACAGTCCATTTCTGTTCAAATAAGTTCTTATGAGTTCTTTGTTATGGCAGCCTGGGGAAGCTTACCATCATCTAGCACAGTACACACATTAGGTATACATTAAAACATGCACTGAATGATGGTATCTCAAAACCCCATTTCTTGGCCAAGGCAGTGCTCAGAGCTCCAGCTAGAGAATAAGCTGGCCATCCTGTCCAGTTGTAAGAAAAAGTAGTACCTAAGCCCTGAGGAGTCTCACCCTGGGCACAGTGTTAGCACATCTGGTCACTGCACCAGCCAGGTGGGCAGGAACTCAGTGGAGCACCCACATTTTGCAGAAAGGAAATCTGAGGCTGAGAGACAGGAGGTAAATGACAGAGCTCAGCTTAAAATCTAGCAACCAAAGGACCAAGACCTTACTTGGTGCCTCAGGATAAAGCTGTGCCCTCTCCACAGACTGTCTCTACCAAGGTCACCAAGCTTACCCACCTGTGAACTTCCAGAGCCATTCCAGGCCAATCTGGACCTTCCGTAAGGGCTTCTGTGCAGAGTGGAGGGTGATAGGGCGGGTGCACTCTTGCTGGATGTATAATTCCAGGTGGTCTTGGAGGTTCTGGCCAACTCCTAAAGTGGGACAGGGGGGTTAGGAATCATGACTCCCCAGGACAGCTTAGCTGGTTTCTCAGTGCCCCCAGGGTTTTCAACAATTCTCTTCCATCCATCACTTGTCCAGTTAGTTGTTATACTCCCTGAGTCTCAGCTAAAAGGGCACAGCTCTTGTGCTCCCTAGCGCAGTATGACCCTCTCTCAAATGCTGGCAAAGTACCTGCCCTTGGCACTCACTACCGGGCAGCACCTTTAAAGCACCCAGGTATCCTGTCAGCCCCACCCCTGCTGCAAGCACTGGTCAGTCTTCCCTACCCGCACTGTGCTAGGAAAGCCCTCCTTGAGCTCACCCAGGCTCAAGGGGACACGAAGCATTCACCATCACTGATTAACATAGACCCACAAGCAATAAGGCCCACCCCTTAAGAGAGCTAGAGCCAGGATATTAGGCAGTTTCTGAACCAACTGTTGGCCTGGAAAAATTGTTTCAATGTGAGACGTAGTCTCTGGAGCCTTGAGTTGTCCTCTTTAAAGCTCAGGGCTACTAGGGAGTCCTGTGGTGATACACCCAAGCTAGTCCAGTGATTCCACTCTTCTAACTGGGCTATGATAGTTGAGGAAGGGAAATAACATGAAGACTTGGGCCTCTAGGGAAGTTCCTGGGGAAAGTGATTGTCTGCTTCTCGCTCCATGCTAATCAACTACGGTAATCATTTTGTTTAGCAAAGTGGGAAACTCAATCTTCTAGGCAGAGATGCCCTCTGAGCAGTGAAGGAAGCTCACCTGGGAGGTGACACACCACAGGGATGCCAAGTTTCTTGAGGTCGTCTCCATCCCCAACACCTGAGAGCATGAGCAGCTGAGGGGAGTTGATGGCACCTCCACTCAGAATCACCTCCTTGTTGGCATAAGCCTGCAACGGGCAGAACAAGGAAGCCAGCCGTTCTCCGGCTCAGGGACCAGACAGAACCACAAAAAAAAAGTGGCCCTGTGATGAGGGGCAGCAGGTATCCAGAGGGACAGTCAGGATGCCTCAGCTGATGCTGAGAACCTGGCTCACAAGTTCTGGGGATGAGGACAGGGATACCCACTGTACAGCTAACCCACCCATGCACCTATTAAGTGTGGTCATAACTAAGGTGTGATGCATATTCTAGTATATTCTGCAACAGCCAGACAATCTAAACAAGATTGAAAAGCTTTAGAGAGCAATAAAGACAGGCACTTGAGTGGTTTCAGTAAAGAAAGCAGAGCCCGATTTGCCTGTGGTGATGCAAAACCATCCCAACTAACTGTTAAGGCAGGAGACGATGGGACACGCAAATACAGGCTCTGTTCATTCACAATGACAGTTTCTAAAACTTGTAGTATAAAACTATACATTTCTGCTGGGCCAGTGCCCTAAAGAGTTGTGAATGGGCACTAGGGGACTGCTCTGGGGACAGAAAGTAGCAGACAGAGGCTCATGAAGAACACCCCCACCAGGTCACTACAAACTCCTTGTAGCTTCCTGACCTCCCCCAGCCCACCGCCTTCTGTGAGGCCCTAGGACAGTTCTGCACATCACTGCTGCCAGCAGCTTATCACCGGGATTAGACACAGGACTGAGGAGAGAGTTTCTCCCACAATGAGTATGGCCTTTTCTGGTGTCTGATCCACTACCACCCCTCGCCCTCCCTGTCCCCACAGCTTACCCTGTGGCTTTGGCCATTCTTGACATATTCCACACCCACGGCACGGGTACCTTCAAACAGCACCTTATTTACAAATGTCTGGACCTCGGTCTTTAGGTTGGGGCGACTCAATGCTGGGTGAAGGTAGGCGCAGGCTGTACTCCAGCGCTTGCCTGCAGGATGGAGCAAAAAGAACTGATTAGGTGCAGCCCCTCTCAGTTCTCCTAAAACTCAGGGCTGAAGGAATCGGAAAAGGGGTTAGGAAAAGAAAGCTTGACCTTCCCCTGACCATGCAAGCCCTGGTTTTAAAGTGAGGCCAAAGACACTTCCATATCTATCCAGGGTCACCTGGATGCAGGTAGGAAACCAGCCTTCATCCTTGGCAGAATCACAAAGAGGAAGCCTGAGCAGCCGATTAAGAGCGATGAGAAAGAACCCAGAAGAGGCAACGCAACAGGAGTCCTGAGTTGACCCTGGCCTTGCTTGTCCTACTGTGAGCATGGTCCCTTCACTGCTCTGTGCCTCAGTTTCCCCATTTGTAACAGGCAAAGGGTCTGAGTGACGAAAAAAGAAGCCAGGCACCTGGGGGAAGATGGTGACTGGTCCCAGTGACCTCCCCATCTAGACGTCACCAACACGAGCCCGAGGTGTCACCATGCCAAATCAGTTCTCTTGGCTTGGCCTTGTATTTTGTGGCCTGTGGGAATGGTAGTTGTGGTGTGCTGTGGAGTCGGTTCTGACTCATAACAACCCTGTACAGGATTTCCGAGGCTGTAAATCTTTACAGGAGCAGAAAGCCTCATCTTTCTCCTGTGGAATGGCTGGTAGTTTTGAACTGCTGACCTTGAGGTTAGCAGGCCGATACGCTACCAGAGCGCCTTTATTGGGTACAATGTGTCAAGTTTCCTGCTGACCCTGACAGGACGGACCAGGGGCTAGGTTACCTTTATGGATGGTCATGTCCATCCAGCCAAAGCCTTCCTGCTGGAAGCCGTTCATGTCCTCAGTGAATGGGTAGCCAGCCTGCTGTGCTGCCTCCAGGAAAGCCTGGTGCAGTGGGTGGTTGCTCTTGCCCCGAGACACACGCAGGGGGCCTTCACCGCCTCGGTATCTACTGGCACCTAGCTCGTGGCTCTGCGCTTTGCGGAAGTAGGGCAGGCAGTGCGCATAGTCCCAGTCTACGGCACCTTGCTGGTGCCAGCGGTTGTAGTCCTCAGCATGGCCGCGGATGTAAACCATGGCGTTGAGTGATGAAGAACCACCCCAGACTCTGCCGCGTGGCCAGTACAGCATGCGGCCATCCAGGCCCGGCTGTGGCTCTGTGTGGTAGTACCAGTTGTATCTGTCATCGCACAGGTTGGCCACGAGGGCTGCGGGCATGTGGATCTTCCATAGGAGCCTCTTGCTCCCTGCGTACGTGTCCTTGGGCCCAGCCTCCACCAGTAGCACACGATCCAGGGGATCCTCCGAGAGCCGTCCTGCCAGCACGCAGCCCGCTGAGCCTGCACCCACCACAATGTAGCTGTACTCATCCCCACTCCTGGAGCCCACACTGGCCATTGCGCGGGCTCCCTGTGCCAAGGTGCGACGCGTGCCAGCGCATTGACTCCAGCTTCTTAGGACACACCACATACTTCCAGCCTAGAGTCCTCTTCCAGAGAAGGTAATGGGATGATCTCCTCTTCCTGAAACAAGAGAAAGGCCTTTCAAAATTTTATCTCAGCATGAATACGCAGAATAGTCTTTTCAGCTGCCTGGGGGGAGAGAGAGCTCATAGTGGGGTAGGGAAGGGCAGGAGCAGGAATTTAGGAACTATGAAATGGAATAAGCCAAAGGAGGAAGCCAGAGAGAAAGTCCTCCCCACACTTACCCAAGCCTTTGACTAAAAGGGAAGAGTAGATTCTGACTCAAACGGAAGAGTAGAACTGCTCGTAAGCTTTCCAAGACTATAAATATTTAAGGGAGCAGACAGCCTTATCTTTCTCCCTCCAAGTGGCTTGAGCCTTGACCTTATGGTTAACAGCCTTCCCTCTGACATCTGTGTACAACAGGGGCTGGAGTCCTGTAGGGATGGGGCAGGGGGCGTTTGCACGTATTCACTCATCCATTCAGGACTGCTGTGGAGCGCCTTCCCCATGCTGTGACCAGCAAGGGCAACACTCAAGAGAACAGGACAACGTACCCTGGAGAATCTAATGGTCTCGGGCAGGGGAGACGGATAAGTGCCATCAAGTCAGTTCCAACCCATGGCAACACTACAAGGAGTTGCTGGTGACTTTGAACTGCTGCCCTTGTGGTTCACACCAACCTGTGGTCTCGTGCTGTATCCCACAGTGCCACACCAGGACTTGAATGGCACTATAGATATAATGCAGTCCGAATTCCAACATCAATTTTTAAAGAGATGGGAAAAACTAATCATTAACTCCTGTTGTGGCACTGTAGTGATAAACACTATTGTAAGGCACAAGGTAGGCAGTTCAAACCCACCAGCTGCTCCTCAGAAACCTGGTACAACATTCTTATCAATGGAGAAAAGATTGAAGTTGTCAAAGACTTAATTTTTCTTGGATCAACCATCAACACTTATGAAAGCAGCAACCAAGAAATCAAATGATGTATGGCATTACTGTGAGAAACCTCTATACTGACAAATGCTCAAGTAATCCAATCTATACTCATTTTAGCAAGAGTAAGGTTTTCTTTATTCAATTTTGCAAAATCGGGCACCCACCCCCGTAGACATAGGCAGACGTGCCACATGGCCCTCCACAAAGAGTTTTATTCTTGTTCCCCGAAAAGCCCCTCCTCCAGTTCCACATATACAATTCTACGGTACATCCCATTTTCCCTCTCCCCAAAGAAGCCAAAATAGCTTGCCCAAGGTCTTAATGGCTGTATTTTAATTTAAATTTCCTAGTCCCAGCATAGCCTGCTTAAATCAACAATCTGTCTGCCAGGTCTTACAAGCTCATGAATTCCTGAAGATGGACCACAAGAGTTATTTCTCACATTAGGCAAGTTTGTCGAAGAGCAAAGATGTCAGCTTGAGGACTAAGGTGTGCCTGACACAAGCCATGGTATTTTCAATAACCTCATATGCATGTGAAAGCTGGACAGTGAATAAGGAAGACCATAGAAGAATTGATGCATTTGAGTTAGTGTGGGCGGAGAATACTGAAAGTACCATGGGCTCCCAAAAGAACAGATATGAGTTGAAAGAAGTGCAGCCAGAGTGCTCCTTAGAGGCCAAGATGGCCAGACTTCATCTCTTATACTTCAGACATGTTGTCAGGAGGGACCAGTCACTGGAGGAAGATATCATGTAAAGTGGAGGGTCAGAGATAAAGAGGACGACACCCAATGAGATTGATTGGCAAAGTGCAGCATCAATGGGCTAAAGCGTGGCAACAATTGTGAAGTTGGCCCAGGACCAGGGTCACTGTGAGTTGACACCGACTCGATGGCACCTAACAACAATAACAACAAGCAAAACTAGTAAATACCACTATTATTCAAATTTCTGCACCAACAACTAAAGTTCGTGATGATTACCAAGTTCAGTGTGAAATTGATCAAACATGCAATCAAGATACATTGATGAATACTAGCAATTGGGATGCAAAGGTTGGAAACAAAAGGAAGAGTAAGGATCAGTAGTAGGAAAATATGGCCTTGGTGATAGAAACAATGCTGGAGAGTGCATGATAGACATTTGTAAGACCAATGACTCCTTCATGGAGCTCTAGTAGCATAGTGATTACGAATCGGGCTGCTAACCTCAAAGTCAGCTGTTCGAAACTACCATCCATTCTGCAGGAGAAAGATGAGACTTTCAGCTCCTGTAAAGATCTGAAGCCTCGGAAACCCTGTGCAGGGTCACTATGAGTCAGAACCTACTCCATGGTACTTATAACAACAAGCCAAGTTTCAGTATTCAAGCATCTCATAATGCATGTGAAAGCTGGACAGTGAATAAGGAAGACCATAGAAGAACTGATGCATTTGAATTATGGTGTTGGAGGAGAATATTAAAAGTAGCATGGACTTCCAAATCAGCAAGCCAGTCTTAGTTTGAAGACGTATAGCCAGAATGCTCCCTGGAAGCCAGGATGGCCAGACTTTGCCTCTCATACTTTGGACATATTGTCAGGAGGGACCTATCCTTGGAGAAAGGATATTGTATTTGGTAAAATGGAGGGTCAGAGAAAAAGAAGACAGACTGGCACAGTGATGGACTCAAATGTAGCAATGATTTTGAGGTTGCCACAGGACCAGGCAGTGTGTTCTGTTATGTTGTGCACAGGACTGCTATCAGTGGTTACTGACTCAATGGAACCTAACAACAACAATGGTCACTTGATCTTCTGTTATAGTTAAGTGCCACTGAGTCAGTTCTGACTTACAGAGACCTTGTATAGGGTTTCCAAGGAACAGCTAATGGTATGGAACTGCCATCCTTGTGGTTAGCAGTCTAGTGCTTATTCTACAACATCACACCAGGACTGACGGCCAACATACATTATGTGGAAGAGATGGTCTCTTCAGCAAATGGTACTTGCAAAGCTGGAGGTCCATTTGCAGAAGGATGAAGCAAGACCCATATCTCACACCATACACAAAAATGAATTCAATGTGAATTTAAGACCTAAATGTAAAGCTTAAAACTATAAATAAAGATCAGTGAAAAAATAAGGATAAACTTAGGGGCTCTGACACATGGCATAAACACTATCAAACATCTGAAAACACAAAACCAAAACAAAGTAGATGACCGGGACCTCCTAAAACCTAAACACTTACATGCACCAGAGAATGTCACAAAAGCCTAAAAAGAGAACCCATGGACTGGGAAAGAATGTTTGACAATAATATGTCAATGAATTTCCTCTCTATAGAACACTTCAACAACTCAGCAAGAAGATGACAAATAATCCAATTAAAAAATGGGCAGAAGACATGAACAAACACTTCACCAAAAAAGACATTCAGGTGGCCAAAAAGCATATGACAAAATGCTCTTATCATTAGCCATTGGTGGTGGTATGCCATGGAGTCAGTTCCAACTCATAGCAACCCTATACAGGGTTTCCGTGGCTGAAGGTCTTTACAGGAGCAGAAAGCCTCATCTTTCTCCCATGGAACGGCTGGTAATTTTGAACTACTGACTTTTAGCAGCCCAACCCATAACCACTATGATAACAGTGAGATGCCATCTTACTCCAGCAGTAGTAGCAAAGTTAAAAAAAAAAAAAACCACACAAACCAGAAAAGAACTAATGCTAGTGGACTGGGACCCTCCCACACTGCTTGTACAAATGGTACAACCACTGTGGAAAACGGTATGAAGTTTTTCTCAAAAAGTTGGAAATAGGAATACTGTATGACCCAGCAGTCCCTCTACTTGGTATCAGAAATAAGAGCTGACACAAATACATATACACCCATGTTACCTGCAGTACTTGTTCATAAGGTCAAAAAGAGAGGCAGTCTTAATGCCCATTAACAGAAGAATGGTTAAACTTTGGTATAGACATACAATAGAGTGCTATGAAATGTTGAAAACGATGAATCTGCAAAACACCTCACAACATTTATGAACCTGGAGGATAATTATGTTGAGTTATGATACTCAAATCACAAAAGGACAAATTAAATATTGTTATGAGACACTGTTTTTAAAAGTTAAGAGAAGGTTTTCTTGACAAAAGAAACATTATATATAGTTACTGGAGTCCTGGTAATCACTATAGAATGACAGCTTGAACTGCAACATCAACAGTTCAAACTCACCAGCCGCTTCTTGGAAATTCTATACAGGGTCGCCAATGAGTTGGAACCGACTTGATGGCACTTAACAACAACATAATGGCTACCAGTGGTGGGAGAGAAGGGTAATTATTCATGTGCTAGAGGGCTGACACATGTTAATCTGGGTGAAGGGGAAGGCAATATACAGCAAGGTGGAGGTTGACAGATGAAAGATTAAGGTAAACAGAGGTAAATAATGTTAACTGATGGTGCATGGAGGGGATTGCAATCATTGTATTGAAGCAAAGTAGATGATTTGTTGAATGTAAAACTGATGATCTGCTCTCTAAACCTTTACTCAATTCACAATAAAAAGTTGGGGTATTAAAACTGGGGAGATCGAAACCTTTCACATGAGGGCCATGGGGATACTAACAGAATTTTAAGCAAGGAATGGGATCAGAACTACCATCTCCTAAGATCATTCTTTCAAGTGCTGTAAATACCAAACCCACTGCATCGAGTTGATTCCAAGTCACAGTAAACCTAGTAGGGTTTCCAAGATTGTAAATCTTTATGGAAGCAGACAGCCTTACCTTTCTTCTGCAGAGTGGCTGATGAGTTTGAACCATCAACCTTGTGGTTGGCAGCCCAACCCTTAACCACAGCACCAGCAGGGCTCCATGTAAAGAGCTAGAATTTAACAAAATATGCCAATAACTTTTAGAGGGCCATGTCTCAACAAGGTTTAAACCCATCGCAGCACACTTAGTGAACAGAGCCGGAAAACAACCAGGGTATACCATCAAAACTTTCACTGATTCAAGAACCTCTGAAAAAGTCCCACTCATGAGGTTCAGACACATGGAGCCTTCCCCAGA